GTCAACTCTTCTTTATAAGCATATATCAGATCAAGATTTTTTTTAAAACTGGTTTTGTGTGACCTTATAGGTGGACGACAAATTTGAAGGAGTCCTTGTGTAGTGGGACAGCATCCTGCTCACTATGGAGTTCGTATGATGTACTGACAGTGGTTCTCTTGCTTTAAAATACATTTTGTTAACCAATTTTTTTAGCTGGCTTTACAAAATATTTTAAAAAGTGTAAAGATAGGTAAAACTTACATATGACCACATCAGAATATTGTTGCCTTGTGTTTGACCACTTATAATAAACTGTAAAGTTTTCATTCAACAGTAAAAAAAAAAAAAGTATTTTCTGCGAATAAGACAGCTAAGCTCTTAGAGTGGAAAGTAAAATCTAAGAAAAATCTCTTTTCATTCATGTCTTCAACCACATATACACAGCCACACAGCAAGTGATATATAATGTTTAATGTATATAGAACTATATATACATATATACTTCTGTTGTCTAATTCATATATATACATATATGCAACATTTAATATATATGCATATATAGACATGATCAACTCTTTGCTCAAGATGTTTAGAAGTTACTAAAGAAAGGGTAACATGCCAGTTGTTGGTCTGAGATTAGGTTATGATGGCAAGAGTAGGAGAAAAGGAAGATGGGAAGTCAGCTTACACCTGAGTAGGAAAGGGGCCACTAGTGATAAAGGAGGTAATTAAAAATATTTCCTTACATATTTGATATTGTCTTTGGATTATAGCCACTTGAATATGAACCTGATATCTCATTTTGGTTTTAATTTTTATTTCCTTAGTAACAAAGACAATGTCTCAACTCATTGTATCGTCAGTCTTCCACAGCAGAATCTAGCTCTCCGAGAACAGGGACCGTGGTGGTGGTGTTCTAGTAGGGTGGCTGTACACAGAAGGTACTAAATAGTCATTTCATGATTAAATGCATCTCTATAATATATAAGCATTAAAGTGATTCATATGAGTAATGTTAAATTCCCTTAACATTGTCTATGTTATAATCAGTGAATTAAAAGTGGGTCATAAAATACGTGCAGGCTGATTTTATTTATAATTTGTAAAATATGTAACATACCTAAAGTAAAATGTTAACGATTATTTCTAGATGGTATATTATTTGTAAGTTTGTCCCAGATGTAATTTTTTTTAAAGATTTATTTATTTATTTATTTATTTGAGAGAGAGAATGAGATAGAGAGAGAGCATGAGAGGGGAGAGGGTCAGAGGGAGAAGCAGACTCCCCGCGGAGCAGGGAGCCCGATGTGGGACTCGATCCCGGGACTCCAGGATCATGACCTGAGCCGAAGGCAGTCGCTTAACCAACTGAGCCACCCAGGCGCCCACCCAGATGTAATTTATAAAGAAATGGCTTAAAAATTGTGGGTTTTTAAAAAAATTTTTTTGAAGACAGTTCAGAAGGAGGGGCCGAGGAGAGGGAGAGAGATAATCTTAAGCAGGCTCCCCTCCCAGTGTGGAGCTCAGCCTGAGGACCCTGAAATCATGACCTGAACTGAAATCAAAAGTAGACATTTAACCAACTAAGCCACTCAGGCGCGCCTTAAAAATCAGTATCTAACATCTACTCAGTTCAGGAATATCCTCATGAGGCCATTCAGCACGTATGTGAACACTTACTGACACGGAGCTCGTCATCTGCTACTCATCCACATCACAAATTCTGTTGAATTCCTTTACAGGGCACTAAAATTTGACTACTTGTAAGTTCCTCTGTTCCTGCATCTACTCTCCAAAACAACAGGATTCTGCAGTCATGCAGAGAGCCTTCAGGCTTTAGTCCAGCTCCTCAAGTCCATCATTACCAGATTCTTCAGTGAGGTTTCATCTGACATTATTCCCAGATATCCTGCCATTCTTGTTTGCCACCTACAATATCATTTTACATTATCAAAGAATTATGACATATAATAACTATTTATGGAAACAATACTCAGGAGAGCATATTAGGACTAATAATAAAATAATAACTACGGTTTTGAAAAATGTACTGTATGCAGTAAACTGTACCGAGTGTTTGAGGTACATATGTAATACATTTTATAAATACTTGTATCTATTATTATCCCCATTTTGCAAATGAGAACGCTGAGGTTTGGGAAAGCAAGAAAATCATATGACCCAACAAATAAGTAAAAGAATTTCAATTTTTATTCAAGTGTGTCTGATTCCAAGGCTCTTGTTCGCTTGACCTGAACACTGGGCTTGTGTTCTGGTCTTCTGAACCCTTACAATGTCAGGATATATACCTCAGTGAGTCTAAGGTAAGAAACCCTCTTTATAGATTAGGATTTTTGCTGAATAATCAGATTCCCATTCTCAGGCCTGCTTCCAAAATCTGCAAAGATAAAACATGTTACTAAGAAAACCAACTTGAGAGCAAATTGGTTAATAGCAGCACTCTAACACTGCAGAAGGGAGTAACGGAATTTTCATTGTTAAAGATGGGTAAATTTCCCCTTATTCCAACTGTCTCAGAGATAGCCTGTTACAAGCCCAAATCCTGAGCCTAACTAGGCCCCAGGATACTCTGTGACCGGCCCACCCTGAGGCAGCTTGGTTGTCCTTTTCCCATTTGAGGACATTATGGCCTTGTTCCCAAGGAAGGCAAGATACATCTTTCCTCCTGGCTCCAGGCCACCAAAGATACTACTTGGAAATATCAAATCTAAGCTCCTTCTGCTTCTTTTGATAGCAAGGGCTCTCTCATATTTGAGGGCAAATGCAGACACCATAAGATAAAGGATCCTTCAAGCCTTTGCAAGTCTGTAACCCAACGCTGCCTTTTCCACACTCTTGGGTTCCAGCTACATTCTGGTCTCTAAGCCTCAATTGCTCTAAGGATATAAACATGGAAAGCATGTATAAAACAGGCAAACATCTAAGTGATCAATCTCTTAGAAATCCTCAGAGACTGCTTTAATTCTGAGATCTTAATATTTAGACCCAAATATTCTCAGAAATAATTGCCTTGAGCAGCTATAAATTTCTAAAGCCCCTAATTTCATTTTTTTCCCCTGGATCTGAAAATCTGTATGGAAGCCAGTGCCTCCAAACTTTTGTGGGAAAATCTCTGAGCTGGAATAAGCATTCTCATCAGTGGCGGGAGCCACAGCCTGGGTTGAAGGCAGATTTCTAGATAGGCTTAGATTTCCCACTTAGGAAGAACTTACAAATTATCCAGCAATGGTGGGCACCTCCTCCGCTGCTGGCTCAGCTCTGGAGCTTCTCTCCACTTCTCTACAAATTTTTCTAGCCTTTAGCATTATTCATTCACTACCATTTAATTTCCTATGTTATGTATTATCTGAGGAGAGAGAAAAACACATCTTTTACTTCGATTTTCTCACCCAGAGGAATGCCGTTTGGACGGAATGCTCTCTTTCTTTTCTCCTATGAAGTTATTAGCAGAGACCAGCCCGTCTCAGCTCAGCACACTAGACCCAGGACACTTCCGTCAGGAGGTGGTGAGGGCCTGACCATCGTCCTCTGTTCCAGCTCAGCTCTGTCCTTAGAACCTTACCTCTCCCCCCAAGGTGTCTGTACTCCTCTCTCCTCGAGTTACCTCCCACCCCTTCTTTTCTCTCTGCTTCGTCCTCCGAACCTTCTTTCTCCTCTGTCTGATCATGAGTTATCTTAGTGGTTTCTGCTATTCTTCTGTTCCTTTCCTGACAGAGTGATGATTCCCGGGCATCTGTATATGAACATCACTATTCTAATCCCTTGTTAAGTTAATATCTCTTCCCTTATTATTTACTTATGTCCTGGGGCCCCTGGAATAGTGAGAGTAGAAACTACTGTCTCAAGCCAGGACCCAGAGAACAAATGTGGAAAAGCCTCAGCTGATACACACACCTAGAAGAAAGTTTTAGGTTAAATTGCAGATGATCCTCAGCTTCTAGTACAATGACTGCAAAAGTGGTGAGTTCATATATACTATGTATCAAGTTTTTCTATTTTATTTTACCCTTTAAGTTTGATCTTCATGCTACACTTTTTTTTTTTTTGGTAGACTATTTTTCAGTATTTGACCTAAGCAGCAACCAGAGTGACTTGCCGCAAGCCCCATAGCTGTTGTATGTGTAGGAAGTGGCCCAGCTGAAAGTGTTTGGGAAGCAAAGGGGGCTCTACCTTTAATTCCTGAGTGACACGTCACCCTGTGTTTATCTCCGCATCCTTTCCACACCCCGATTTATCTGAAGAACTGACCTACCCAGGGTCCCGTTTCAAATCCCACCCATATTTTCTTATCCCCTGACCCTCATGTGATCCACAGGCCTTCTGACTCCCTTTGTCAAGCATTCTAGTATCCTTCTCTCTCCAGCTCATTTATTTTATATATAATATATATATATATCTCTTCCACTTATTAGCATGCCCCTTTTGCACTCACGGTACTAGTGAAGAATAGGAAATAGCGAAACTCTGCTTCAAGATAACCTTGATTAAGTTCCCGAAAATGTTTCTTTCTTAGGTTAAACTCCACTATCCTTAGTAATGCACATGAAACTCCAGTATCCTAGGAAACCAGAGAACAAGCTGAGATTTTTACTCGGCCCCTCACGACATGGTAGCACGTCTCTTGGAAGCAGGGAGTTTGCTGAGCCCAGTTCAAAGCTGTCCTCATAATCCTCCAGCCCTTACCTTGCTTCAGAATGACCACCACCTCCTCTTCTCTCTCCTGCACACCCCTCTCTCAGAAACGGGTCTGGGGATGGTGACAGGGACGCCAGCCATCTGAAGTAAATCTTCTTGCTCTCTTTAAACCTCTGAGCTGAGAGTAGCACATGATGTGCTGCAGGGGGAGGGAGTTTCCACCTATGCCCTTTGCTCGATGTCATCCTTTTCCACATAGGCCTCATTTGGGGGCTGAAGACATGCCTGCAGACCACTCAAGTAAGCAGCTGGGAGGAAAAGGCCCCCCTCCGGACACCAAGAACCTCTTTCCTTATGTATTATATCCTCCCTCTAACTCATCTACTTGCTCTTTACCATTTGGACCTGTATATAATACATGCTGTTTAATACCTATAATACAACCATGCTCTCTTTAATGGTTGGCTAGAGCAAAGATGTGGGTATTACAGGAGATACAAAGAAGAATCAATCAATCATCTCCACACTGACGGTGTTTTTGATCAGGCTACCTCCAGCAGCTACAGCATGGCAGTCATCTTGTAGACCGGTTAGCTGAGAAGAAAAAAAAAAATGGAGGACAAATTAAATTTTATGTTTTGGGGCACCTGCGTGGCTGTCGGTCAAGCATCTGCCTTTGGGTCAGGTCATGATCTCAGGGTCCTGGGATTGAGCCCCTCGTTGGGCTCCCTGCTCCGTGGGGAGTCTGCTTCTTCCTCTCCCACTGCCACTCCTCCTGCTCATGCTCTCTCTCTCTTCCTCAAATAAAATCTTTTAAAACATTTTTATGTTTTAACACACACACAGATATTGAATATTTGCAAATTATTAGGCATCATGCTAGAAACTTGCACATGCATACCTCGGCTTTGGTGAAAGCTTGGCATTGGCAGGGTTTTCTTCTTTTGTTCTAACCTTCTTTATTCCTGACCATCACTGCTAGGAACTGAAAGCAGAGAGCCCTGTGGGCCAGACCACTCCTTCAGACTGGGTCAGAAATAGAAGGGCTTCTCCATGAGAGCAGCATTTGCCTATGGAGCCCTTCTGTGTGCTCCATTCTAGCCCCCTCCCAGCACCTTTCAGCTCCAGGCTGGCAGTTATTTTTGCCTCTGACAGTTAACTACTCAATCTTTTCTGCTTCCAGCAAATGCCCCTGGCACCCTAGCTTCACACACTCCCCAAATCAATGCCTTTCTTCTGCCATTCTCCTCTTCCATCACATTCCCCATGTAATAGAGAGACTCGTCAGGTAAGACATTTTTCCCCCCTCTGAGAAAATAGCCTCAGGATCTTGATATAATCCAAAACCAGAATAAGGTATATATCCTATCTACCTAGCTACCTATAATTTATTCCCCGTGATACACAATTTCAGGTTTTATCATACTGGCTCTTATTGAAGAGACTTTCTGTTGATACCCATGTTTGCTCCAGTCCAGTCTTTTGAAAGTTAAGAAATTCTAATCTCACTTTGGGCAATAACTTTCCAGGCTGCATTTTCCTTTTCTTAAGGTTAGCTGATTTTTCATTCTACTTTCCACTTTCCAGATCATCACAGATGAGTAAAGGTGAGAAAGAAAATAAACCAACATAAAAGGCAGCAACCATCACTCAGGTGGATAGTGAATGCATGGCAAAGTTACCTCACGAAAACTCTGGTGGATGTGAGGCTCCTACCAAGGAGTACCTCGGTTATTTGTAGGTTCTGTTTCTTCAGGCATAGCTGATCTCCTCTGGAAGGAAAATGATAACCTTAGCCTTTCTCCACTCAGTGACTTGGGTCTTCTGTACTCCCTCCTCCTTGAAAGTGTATCTCAAGCCACTCCCATCCCTGCCCAAGAAACGGTGCCCCAAAACTTACTTCCAGACCAGCAGGAGGCTTCTCTGATATCCTCAACATCCAGATGCTTCTCCATTTGAAAGTGTTTCATTGCAGCTGGCTTTTTAAGGCAGGGTGCACTGATCCTGTAGCTGGTGTATTCATGGTGCTCAGATATGTGGCTGACCTCAGTTCTTTTCCAACCCTCTAAGACATCATGGGTGTCCCAATTTCCAATCATCCTTTTCTCTAGATGGCTGTTGGGATTTGAATATTGCCCAGGGTTCTGGAGCTTTCTTTACCTTGTCGGTTACTCCTCAGGATTCTGCCATCCCGGATTAAGTTAAATAGACATAAACCAACTGCCTTCAAAAGATAATTTCTGAAAGGAAATGCTCTCACTCACTTTTCATCACATGCTTAACAACATCTGTATTTCGACATGCGTGAATGTTTGGCTTAAGGAAAACACTATCCTCCTGGTCAGAAATAGCCTACACCTTTCGACCCTCATGCATGTCACTTCAGGGAACAACTCCTCAGTAAATAATACAGCTTCCTCAGTCACCAAAATGAAATGAGTACCTATTTTTTTTCATTTGTATAATTATAGTAACCTAAGAACCTTATTTTTACAAAGACTACTATGCTATTGTACAAACACTACTATATAGAAAAATAGAAAATTTTAAAAGATTTTATTATTAAAAATCCCATCATATTCACAATCCATTCTTTTATATTTATCTCTTCCTGTCTTTATTCTAACAAGGAGACATTTATGTAGATTTTAAGTAGCATATGTGAAATTTTAGAGGCTTCATTTCTTCATGTCACAGCTTCATATTTAGACAATATTTAGAGAAATTCTTCAAATTTAGACAATATTCTAAATTTCAAGTGATTTGAGTGAAAAATACTTTTTGATTTGAGAAACACTATGATGTTTATATTACATGTTAGTTTTCTTCCCTTTACTATATTCTTTAGCTCAATTCCTAGAAATTAGAACATACAATGAGAGTTTGAACATTGTAATAACCCCAAAATATCTTACCCACCCTTCCAGAGATGTACTATTTTTTCCGTTGCAATCGAGAGTATATGTGTGACAAATCCCGTTGTGCCTCGTAGCAAGGAGGAAAGTTAATGAGGGTTCCCAAGGTAAGACTGGTAAAATTATTTTTCAAATCCCCAGGGTAAGGCTCAAACATTTTCTAAAGCAGAGCAGGTGACTATTTAACAAAACTATTTTTCTTGAACTTCCCACATGCCAATTTATTTTCCAGAGTCAAGAATTCTCAAACTAATATCTGAGTGGCAGTTTGAAAATACAATTCTCTTCTCTCCCTGAATCTTGCCTTTGTTCTAAAAAAGAAAGCAAGTCTTGAAAATAATTTTTCAACAGTAAAAATTATTCTTTCCTGTGGGAACCACTGGACAACTTTACAACTTCATTTCATAAAATATTTCAACATACCAAGACATGTTTCTAAAAGTAAACATATAATATTTTTAGAATTCATATGTATGTATCCATATAGAGATATCTCATCTTTACGGTATGTGAAGATTCAAGCATATGAAGACAATGCCTGACATAATGTTATAACAAACCACTCTCCTTGAACTTTTAGGAAAATACCAAAGATTTCAGAAATGCTGTTTTACTTAAACTTTATGAGTCTAATGTGCATAGACAGCACTACTTTAGTTCCTTAGAAACTAACGGAAACAGATTTAGAGGAAGAAAAGTAGAAAGAGAAGGAAAAGGAGACTTTCTCCTATCCCAATTAAAAATTGAGTGATGTGGGGGCGCCTGGGTGGCTCAGTCGGTTAAGCATCTGCCTTTGGCTCAGGTCATGATCCTGGGGTCCTGCTCAGCGGGGAGCCTGCTTCTCTCTCTCCTTCTGCCCCTCCCCCCACTCATGCTTGCTTTCTCTCTCTCTCTCAAATAAATAAATAAATACAATATTTTTTAAAAATTGATTGATGTCAAATAGTGGCACCAGGAAAAGTAACGGGCTAAGTTATGGTGCTCTTTACTTAACATAATTACTGTTAATATATTTACACAGTTGTATCTACGATTCCTCCAAGGGAAACCACTTGTTCCCATAAAGCAGTACAAAGTGTTAGAGATGTTGGCTGGACTGACGTATCAGTGCTGATGCTGACTGGAAGATGAGGACTAGAAATATGCATGTAAGAACCCTTGAACCAATACTTGAACATTGGATTTCAAACAGGAGCGACTGCATGAAATCAGATTGGTTATATTCAGATTTCTGCCTCTGAATATTGGTCTGGTGATCTGAACTTAACTTCTGTCTTTTTATGGGTGTTATGGTAAGTAACAATAAAATGCTGTTTTAAGGTTCAATTCTAAATTTTGAAATTTCTTATCACTTAGTATGGACGCAGTTTTGAGGGAAATTGCAGCAAAACAGCAAATCTTACCATTTTGTTGCATTTTCCAGTAAGTGGACTCAGGTCACTCATGTAATAAAGGCCATACATGTGAAAATGAAGAAGGAAGGAAAAAAATAAGAAAAGAAGGCAAAATAAAGAGGGAAAAAAGTGAGGTTTTTCCTTTAGATTATTTTCAGCCTAGCTTAAAGTAATGTGCCTAGGCTTCATTTCACATGTAAACTATTTTTGTTCCCTCTTATTGTTCCCTTCTTTGCATAAAGGCTCTGTAAAATACACATTGTTATCAATATTTTCTTCTTTTTTTAAACCACTAATAATTCTCCATAATTATGTCAGTTCGTCTTATGTACTGATTTCTCTGCACATCCAGGAGTGTGTATAGAGGCTACTTTAAATCCTCATTTTCTCTCCTCATTCATGTCTCTTTTCCATTATTTTTGTTATTACCACTCCCTTGTACAGCAGAAATATCTAGATGGTTCCTCAGACCTTTTCTCCTTCTGGAAAGAAGAACTTAAAAACTTGCTCATATTAAGCAATGAAATGAGAGAAAAGAAAAATTTCAAAAAAGCAAAGTAGCCCAAGTGCTTGGAAAAATGATGATTGACATTTAGTAATCAGCAATATCAATTGATTGGTCAGAACTGTACCTAGGTTATTACTAGAGAAAGCAAACTGAGTGTGTTGTACTCACCCCACAGAGGCAGGATGGATCTCATAACTGGCTTGGATGTTGAGATTGATAATGTCACACACGCACCAAGAGGAGAAGAAAAAATTCTCTCCCAAGCATGTCCAAATATGGTTTGAGAGACAAAGGAGAGGCAACTGGCTTGGGGTGTTCCCGTGGCTGGGGACACAGCTGGGGTGACTTTGTGGGATGGGTTTGGGGTGGAATTCCTACTGGTGTCCTAGGAGGGCACACTGTCTTTCTGTCAGATTGCCCAGACAGACAGAAGAGGAAAGGGGAATGTTGGGACTGGAAATCTGCCAGCAGTCAAATGTTCCAAATGGAATCAGAATCTTTATTACAAGTGATAAGAAGGATACTAAAGAGACTTTGGGAATGGAAGAAGTTATAGAAATTTATGAACAAATAAAAATAAATTAGCTTTGAGTTGAATGGTTACATGCGATTGATTACCGCTTGCCCTTTCAATGTCTTAGAATTGTCTTCTTTATCTATTTAAGATACAGATGTGAAGGTTATTAAAGCGGCTCTGGCACTTGTGCTCTATTAACTGTCAGGGTTCATTAACTCATATGGCTGGCTGGGTACTATTCTTTTACGCATCACTCAAGGATCAATGAGAATAAAATACTCAGAACAAAAATTTCAGCTGAGAATATATATGATATTAAAATATGAATTGTGTCTGCTTAGAAAGGGCTATCCTCATACGAGATAATAATTTTGTAACGAAACGAGCCCTATTAATTAATGAGTTAAAAATCAGTAAATTAAAATAGCTGGGAGAATTGTTTAGAATGTGAAAAGTGAAAAATAAACTTCTTAGATTCTTACCTCATACTAACACCGAAATTGATTCCACATTTAGGATAAATACAATAAATTTTTAAAAGCATCAAAGCTGAGAATATCCCGCTAACAGAAACAGAAAATACGACATCCCAGCCTAGAAATCAGCATCCTGGGAGACTGGCAGACCTGATTCCATGAAAGTACCACCTGTGCTGGTTGCAGTACTGGGGATAACAATGACAATAAGAATAAAACCCCATTCATTTATTTCCTTGATAGGCAAAGGGGATTAAGAGGCACAAATATCCAGTTATAGAAAAGCCATGGAGGCGAGATGTACAGCAGAGGGAATATAGTCAATAACACTGTTATAACACCATATGGTGACAGATGGTGAGCACATTTATCATGGTGAGCACTGAGTAATGCATAGAATTGTCAAATCACCATGCTGTACACCTGAAACCAATATAACATTGTATGTCAAGCATACCTCAGTAACAAAAAATAAGAACAAAACTCCCACATCAAGAGGTAGTCGTAATGAAAGAAAAACAACAGATTGTAAAAAATGTGGACAATTAACATTTTGTGTACTTAGAGCTTAAAATTTGTAATAAGACTTCAGTAGTTAATTAGACAAAGAAAAATTATAAACCATTTTAAATGAAGAAAACAAAAAGTAGTAGGAGACATGATGATCTCAATACATAAAACAGATTGCAAAAAGAGAGAGAAAGCCCTGGCACAGCAGTTTTTAACTACAGTAACTGGAGAAAAATTATATAATACTCTATCCAGAACAGTGTAAAGAGATGGACACCCTCGTTATGCTGCTATTAGAAACATGAACAGGGACATTTGTATAAGCAAGTTACCAAAATATACCCAGAGCTTCAAAATATATATCCATTTAGTCCCAGTGATTCAACTTCTGGTAATAACTTAGGGTTAAATAAAACAGAAATCTAGAATAAAACAACTTCATGAACAAATACGCAAGTTATTTATAATGACATTTATTATGGAAGACATGAACAACATCCAATATGAGATTAAAAAAACAAATGATTTTTAAAATCTAACATATATCCATTATATGGAATGTAGTGCACATATTAAAATAAAATAGTCTTTATAAAATTATGTAATAACATGAAAATTCTTATCATATATTTTTTTAAACAAAGTACTCATTTGAACATTAAGGATAATCATGAGACTGTAGACTCCCCAAAGGATGGAAGTTTTTTTTGTTTGTTTGTTTGTTTTGCTATTGTTGTTCTTGTCATTGTAGCTGATTGCC